TTCGTTTATTCTTGATGGTACTCAGTGCAGCTGAACTACACTCAAGTTTTCACTTAAGTTTGAGTTGGGATTATCGTGGTTCTACGCGATTTTCATTCATTCGTATTTGTCTATTAATCTTGGCTTTATCGCCTGAGTTCCCTTTGCCTTTCATATAGGAAGAACTTTCATTGTTAAAATCTAGTAGGTTACGCTCAAATTTACTATCGGAAATGAAAATTATTTGTTACGCGGAACCAGAACCTCGCTCAAGTAAATACAGATTTTGACAATGCTCAAGACAAGATTTTACGGTTGAGTACAGTTTAAGAAACAGCAAAACTGAAACGAATCTCAAGCATTATCTAATATTAAAACTCAAGACGTCACTTCTTCTGATATTACTCAGGTGAACTCCGATTACAGATTCTACACTTGAGTAGTGTTCTGGAATAAAAACTCTGCTTGAAATCATACTCAAGTCCTGATTTGAACTTTGAGTTCTAGGAATAGGACCCCAAGTGTTCCAAGCTTTGAACATCCTCTGGATTTAATCGTGACATCAGATTTCTTAGATGATCTTACGGTGGCTGCTTGCTGTACAATATCTTGTCACAATGTACAAGAACAATCATAACAACATTACTTGGGTTACACAAAACCAAACGATTAAACTTACAAGGCTGTGTCTTCGTTGGTATTTTTGATGAATTTCGTTGAATTGCGGTAACAATTCTTTTTCACACGCCTCGATGTATGAATTTTCAATAGGAAAGCGTTTGCGCGTAATTCTATAATCTTGTTTCCTTATATAGAGTATCTGAAACAAGTCAAACGAAAACAAACAATTAAGATGTTTACTCGATTATGTTGTTAACTGTAGCTAGCTACACACATAGGTATGTATATGCAAGGTGCGTCCCGGATCACAATTCGTTTGAGCTTGTACTTATGCCGTCTTAACGCACTCGTAGTGCGAAAACACTCCATTCGTAAACGTAAATCTATGGTTCACTGTGTTAAGTGCCATGACGTTCAATGGAAGTAGATTATAAGTATATATGACCTTTAAAATGTGAACAGTATAGGCACGTATTTCTCCTGTGTTTAATGGAAGTTGTAAGACAAATAGCTTATTGCTTATTATATACACCTATTATTTATTAGAGCGAGTCACTCAGGATCAGTGTAGCCCGACATTACTGCGACCTGAAGTTCATCTACTTTATTTTATGAACAATAAGAGCGCATTTGATCTCACCCGATGAAAAGTGATAATGAAGCATGCGCACCTAAATAATGCCTAATCACTCTCGTCTCGAAAAGGCGCAAGTTATAGTGTTCAAGGAATAAGTCTACAGGGAGGGAATTCCGCTCCATTGCCGTTCGCCATATATAAAGCGAATTCGACTTCTTGAAATATCCACAAGACAGGGGTGGAACCTGCACCCAGTCCTCCGATGACGCTAAGGAGAGGCGAAATTAAATCATGCAATTCCCTCGCACACGGGCCATGAGTGAGATATCCTGTTGTACCGGGTTCGATTTCCTAGTTTTATTTTCCCTATGAGGGTAGAAAATCAAACCAAAGAAATCCGAAAATTTAAATATTTATAATAAAAAAAATAATTTACAATTTAAAATTTAAATTGAAAAAGGTACATAAATTTATTACAGGTCTTAAAACTGTAGGTTTTCCGCCTCCGAGTATGGTACTCCCTTGTATATTTGCCGGCGCAGCAGAAGGGCCACAGGACGAGCAGCAATTGGTAGCCGTTCAGCGGAAAGGCTTCGTCCTAGTCCGGATGTAGTCAAGCTCCAGGTGTATGAACCCGGAGGAGGCTCAGCAAAGGTAGCTTTTCAACCCGAAAGTAGTTTTTCAACCCAAAGGTAGTTTAATCCGAAGGTAACTCCCTAAAGCAGGAACTTTCACAACTATTTACGTACGTTTAATGTGATTGGGAAGCAATAATCTTCGTTAAAAATAAAAGTTGCACTTTTGAAAATACGTTAATGGTTTTTTATATCGTGAGCGCAGCCACGACGAGCGTCGACTAGCCCAGAATACGTTCTGACGGTGTCTGAAAAGTTCGGCCACCGCCGGGGCGCCGGTTTCGGCGCTTCCCGCGCCTCCCCTCTCTATGTCTCCGACATCATTCGAAAATGCAACGCAAGCTGCCACAGATTTATCCAATTTTGTCTATGGTAAATCATGGTTTTAATGTTTTATTATTAATTATTATTTATAAATAGAATATGTTTGTTGAAGATAATATTTGTGTTAAATTCTTAATAGCGTTAAAATTGAAACACGATTTATTCTAAAATTAATTTAACGACGTTGTAACCACAGACATATATCTAGATCTAGCAAGTACAGCAATTTGTATGAAAACTAAGCGTGCCACATTTTTTGTACCCACTATGGCGCCATAAGAACTATTTAGTGACGGAAACCTCCTTCCGCTCGCTCTAAATCGATTGATTGAACAGAATACGTGTAAACACGCGTATTCCATTCAATTAATCGATTCTAAATAGAATAATTTTTGTACAAGTATTTGTTGTTACAAGTAGTCGTAATATAGTAGAAAAATACTACAATAAGATAGTTAAGTCCTTTATTTTACGTTTTTAAAAAATGTTGATCACTTGAAAAAAAACTAAAGACTTTAATTTTCAATCGACTTAAAATATATATATGATATATATGGTTGTCCTTCCAATAAAATTATATAACATCTTAACTGCCTCCGTGACCGAACGCAAAAGTGCGTTCGTTCGATATTCATTGTGTATTAACAAAGGATCACAAATATATCGCACCAAGTAAAAGCCACAATGTATTAGAATAGAATAGAATAGAATAGAATAGAATAGACATTTATTGCAACGCCACAACACATAGATACAAAAAAAAATATTGATACCACTTAGACAAGCAAAACAAAACAAAAAGACGTAAATTACGGAACTGGCCGTCGGAAGGAGGTTTTTAAAAAGGCAATTTTGTCCTTTATGATATTTAATTAATAAAAACGTTACAATAGGTTTGCCTTAAAATAAATTATGATATGACTGCTTCGCTACCGCGATTGAGCGAGAGTGAACTCTAAAATTTTACATTCATACATCTTGATTTCCACACTGCACTTTTGGGAATTTAACTAATGATTCATTTGTCTTTCGCAATCACTATTGGTATGCAACGTCGTCATGAAGTAACGCCATGGGTAACACCTCCCCTCCTAGACAAGCAACTATTTGCAAAGGTTGAGAGCAAATATTGCGGCTTGACGATCTTGCATAGATGTTCTTTCAGCTTCCAATGATGTGGGAACCTCCGTAGTCCTTATATTGGTTTGAGGCATCGACGATTGAGGGGTTGTTTGTTTGATTTGTAGCTGTCGGCGGCGGCGGTGTCGCAGTATGTATAAAATACTAAGTACAGCTGCACTTAATAGAGCGAAGTACAACGGTATTGTTGTATGATATATATTTGAAGGATGAACGCTGTCAATTTTTATAGGGGTTTCCATGAGAACTTGGTGTTGAATATTGTGTAATTTATCCAAATTGATTGTTGTGAAATTGAAGTGTGGCAAATTCTTGTTAAGTGGTGTGATTGTTGGGATTGACATCAGCTCGACGGCGTTACCGCGAATTTTGTCGTCAGCGTTAATGATTGTGAAATCTTTTGTTGTAATTTTGCAATCTCTGGGTACCGTTGCAAAATAGCTGCCGCTCAGTGAGCGATATTCTTCATGTTCGCAGAACATCTGAACTTTTGTAGCTTCCGGAAATGATATGATGTAATGTTGACTGTCGAGTTCCAGTAATGCATCTTTGAAGAAAGTTACCAATGTTGGGTGGCATAGATTGTCTGTTTCGCGCTGATATATGAGGTGATAGATGCAG